TATCCATGTTATCCTGTGAATGGGCTTATCCTTGAGGACCACCTCAGAAAAGATGATTTTGTTTTGGGGTTTAGCATTGTAACCATCTTGCCACCCACGAAAAATTAAATCAGTCACATCACCAAGCTATTTTCCTTACAATTGCTACGTCATCTTAAGAGATCTCGTTCTCGAGATCAATTTTTTTTAACATGTTCTGCCGTTCACATACATGTATCTGGTTCCCGAGTTTCTGCACGTGAAAGAGAAGGAGAACATTTCACTTTCTTTCACAATGAAATTAACATTTAACTTACAGGTATATATTCTTCAATTCTTCCACCTTGGAATATTCCATATAATTTAGGTGCAATTTTTCTCTCAGCAAGCAGTGAGAATACAATTGACTCTGTCAACGCAATGGATGAATCATCCAGGATTTCCCCGTGTATACGTAACAGAACTTTATTTGGCCCAGTCTGTGTTTTGTTGGCGGGTATACTGCATATATATAAATAATTACTCAGTCCAGCACCACTGTGAATATGAAAATAGAATTATAATCTTTCATATTTATGATACATGTATAATCATTTGTGATATAATGTCATACATACTGTAAAATACTTTATTTTCACTTGCAATTAATTTTCGCTATTTTCACTGAAGGAATGATTTAGTGAAAATAAAATCCAGCAAAAAACCTATTTTCCAATATTTTACATTAAACTTTTCAAATTCATTGAAAATAAATTTCATACAACACACCCAAAAAGTCTTTTCAGGGAAAATTAATTACAGCAAAAATAAAGTATTTTACAGTATTGGATAACCAAGCATGAACGTAAATTCATAAACTAAATGTTCAAAGCTTAAATAATAATCTTTTGTTTTGAAAAGTTCAGAATTCAGCAATTTATTTAAATCAAAAAATGAAGATGAAATTTTTCAAAAAAATGAAGGGATTCACTTCAGATTTGACTGCAAAGGTCAAATTGTGCCTCCTGTCAAAAAATAATAAATGAATGAATGAAATGATCGATTTGTTATAAACCACTACAACAAAATAGTGGAAAATATTTTATAACATTTATTTTTACCACAAAGGTTTTTTTTTTTCCTTTTTTTATTTTAATAAGTAATATTCTACGACATGAAAGCTGACTAACAATAACTACATGTATTACTTAACAAGTACCACCTGATAAAACATAAAATACATTGAGCTCGATCGAGATGTGATTATGCGGCTCCCGAGTCATGTTTTGATGATCGAATAAAACAGGGCGTTGGAGCCGCGAAACCAAATATTGTAGCTCATGTAACATCCTGCAGTGCACTCCCGGTCTCAGACCTACAATAGGTGAATCGAGTTTTGTAGTCCTGGCACGTCAGTGAAGGCATACATAGCAGTACAACTTGAATGTATAAGTTTTACGAACGTGCGCGTGCGCAGTGGTTGATTGTCGAGAACTGGTCGACACAAGAAGATGAAATAATGGCGTCATTCGTTTATGTAAGAGTCCCTTTTTATAATGGGTAGGTCACAGTGATACGCCGGTGTATACCCTTTCCTTCCGACAACGCTGTTTTGTGATTTATAGACATTGGACCTTTAGACTAGATCAAACACATTGCGATTTGTGTAATGTTATTACTCGATAACGTGGTAAAGATTCCACGGTCCATATACACTGACACAGAAACTGCAGTTATACTTACGCAAAATTTTCAACATTAAATTCATGTTTTTCAACTCTCGCCCAAGGTCCACGAAGATACTGTCTACACCATGTATATGCTTTGTCGACGAAATCTGGATTCAAACCAGAACGAGAACCCATGGTTCAAGATGAAGGCACAACTGATTTCTGACCGTTTATTAGTAAAACGCACTGTGTGACATGCGCCGTTGTTTATAACCATTACCACAGCTGCGGATGAGACGCGTGGCTGTTTAGTTGTGACGTGGCCTATTATTTGCATATATGAAACTGCAATATAACCTGGGTACCTGGGAACGAGGCAGAGGTCACGTAGGTTTTGGTGTTCACATAAAATAGTCTACTTCAGGCAAGTCAAAGTAGTTCCCTAAATATTTGAAATGGCCGTCCAAATAAATTGCATCACTTCACACACAGTGAATTAGTGTTTTGTTAGCTTTTTGGCAAAATACAAAGATATCAGAAGTCGCGAGTGGGAAATTCAGGTTAAGAGCAAAAATTGCTTGATATTGATTTTTTAAATATTATTTTACCTTTTGACTTTGTAGCTTTAGAGGAGAGTTGGTTAGATTTAGTAGATAATTTTTCATTAGTAGAATTTAGTTATTTTCGTAGTGATAGGAAGAAAAACAGAAAGGCAAGGCGTAATTCTGGTGGCGTTGTGTTCCTTTTCAAACACAAATTTCAAAAAGGTGTACAAAAATTACAAACAACCTTATATCAGATACATTATGGGTGAGACTAGATAAAACTTACTTTAATTTGGAAAGGGATATCTATATCTGTGTGGCATATTTTCCACCAGAAAACTCTTCTATATTTAGTAATAAAGAAAATACACTTTTTGAGCAGATTGAAAAGGAAATAACAACTCACTCATCTCATGGAGATATTATTTTGATGGAGGATATGAATGCAAGAACATCAAGATTGGAAGACTACATTTTGAATGATTCTGTAAGTCGTATACCACTGCCAAATAATTATAAAATTGATGATTTCAAAGGGAGGTTGAATAGAGATCAGAATGTAAATTCATATGGGAAAAAAATAATCGATCTTTGTCTGTCAACAGACTTGAAAATTGTTAATGGGTGAAAAATAGGGGATTTATATGGCAATTTTACTTGCCATGCATATAATGGCTCCAGTTTGGTGGATTACATCATTGCTCAAACAAGCCTTTTTTCAAAAATTCAATTCATGAAAGTACACCCTGTATCATATTTATCTGATCACTGCCCATTGTCATTCACACTGAAAATACAAGATCAGTTGAAAAATGTCAATAACAACATGGGCTTAAAACCATTACCTATAAATTATATCTGGGAATCATCCTCAATTGATAATTACAAGACAGCAATGAATAATGCAGCAGTCAGATCCAAAATTACATCTTATTTACATATGGATTATACAAAATGTAATATTAATGATGCTATCCAGGCACTAAATAATATTTTTTATACTGCAGCAGACATGTCGCTTAAAACCCAGGCTCGTAAATAAAAATAATAATAAAAAGAACCAAACAAATAAAGAGTATGATAAGCCATGTTACATACTTAAACAAGAGTTAACTGGCATGAGTAAATTATTAGTAAAACATCCCAGAAAACCGTACATAAGGTCTAGATTTTTTCAACTGAAAAAGGAATACAAAAAACTAATTAGATTGAAAAAAAGAATGCATCAAGAGACACTATTAAATGATATAAATGGAAGTGAAAGAAATAATCCAACAAAATTTTGGAATATTATTAAAGAATTAAAAAATACTAATTCATTACCATCTAACAATGATATTAGTGAAAGTATCAGTGAAGATGAATGGATTAAACATTTTTCAAATTTAAATATT